CGCCGCAAGGTTTGTTCTCGTTCGTTCGCTCGTTCGTTCGTTCGTTCCTTCGACCTCGGCGACCGAAGCGGCGCAGGAATTCGGACTACTCTCGACGTTTACGCTTTAAAGGCGATGTAGCGAGCCGCCCACACGAGAGCGAGACTGCTAACAGGTGTTCGGAGATATATACCGCTCACGTACGCGCCGACACCACCAGGAGAATCCGGTTGTAGGTGCCGTGAGATCAGGTTGCCGAACCGATCGGGAAATCTGAGGCGTAGATGTGAGTTCGCGGCCGCAGAGTGTGTGTTAACAGACGCTAACGACGCGTCACTCGGTCATACACTGATTCTTCCGAGGAGATCATTCGACGTCAGTCACTTAACTTTGGCTACTTGTGCTGGATGTCGACTGGCTTGATTCGAGGCTCGAAATGTAAGGCTAGGTCTACAATAGAGTTTTAAGCATTAAGAAATTGACCAATCACGATTGATTATTCTTCTATAATTCGATTGTGATCGGGCAATTTCTTAAGACTTGAGGCTTAAAGCATCTATTGCAGATTAGGACTTATGCTAGGTGTACAGTAGAGTTTTAAGCCTTAATTGGTCAGTCACAATTGATTATTCTTCTGTAATTCGATTGTAATCAGTCAATTTCTTAAGCCTTAAGTCTTAAGAAACTGACCGATCACAATTGATTATTCTTTTATAATTTCATTGTGATCGGCCAATTTCTTAGGGCTTACAGGACTTATTGTAAACTAGAACGAACGTCATAAACCGTCCAACATTTTTTCTTTTTCTTTCAACACTAACCTGGTTCATATTTAATTTACCGACGGAGTTATTGACAAGGTACATTTGTATAATTCACAGAGAGCAGATATCGTAACGAATACGAAGTGAGATTTGACGTCCGATCGCATCCAGCGACTATCTATTGCGCGCGCGCTAGCGTCCCGATAAATTACAATGCACACGAATCGAATCGTGCAACATGCGCACATACGTATCAAGCCTTCACGAGGCACGTCACGTCTTCAAGTTAAAGCGATTTACGGCGTTAATGTCCCGTCAACGCGTTATTGTCGTCGACATTATGCCACTAAAACTGACTCGCGCGTGTAATCGCGCGTGTGCATATGCCGCTTCCAATACGAAAGCCGAGCCTCAACACTATTTATATTTATAAGAATCGATAAGGGTTCCGATGAAGTTTTATAAAGAACATGGCGACTTCGCCCCACTACGTCGCGATTCCGTAACACAGCCGGCGGAAATTGGCAGCCGACGCGAACATAACACCGCCTGTCGATCGTTCAACCAGAGGAAACGTCTCCGATCCAGATCTATTTTCAATACCGATGTCACATTGTATCGATTAAAACCGGGTTACTACACCGACCCAATTCCAGTTGGTAGAGAGGTTGATACATTGAAAGAAATATTTATTATTTCTAGATATTCACTTTGGGTGTCCTTCATTGATAACGTCAGAAGTGAGGGAAATCATACCGATTTATGTGACGGTTTATTTAGAAATCAAAGAATATATACGCAAAATAACACTAACATGATTGATTCCGCACACTTATAAAGATATCCAGACGCTTTTCTTTAACCTGAATAATTAATAAATAAAATTAACGTAATAGAAATTATGAGAAGAGACAGGTTAAAAACGTAAGTTGCACGTTGCACTAATTTATTATAAGAGTTACGGCTATTTATTAATTCTTCAGATTAAAGGAAAGCGTCCGGACATTTTTATAAGTGTACTGAATCAGTCACAAGTGTTTTGTGCGTATATTTTTTTACTTCCACATATACCGTCACATAAATTAGTATGATTTTCCTTGTTGCTGACATCATTAAAGGACAGTCGAAGTATCTTTAAAACCAAAGGAGAAGTGAGGAGCTTTAAAAACTAAATAAACTTTATTTGATTAAAAAAAATGATTTATTTCAATGCTCCTAATTAAATAATTATTTGATTGAAATTAATATATTTTATCGATTAAAAGAAGTGTTTCTTAGTTCCAGAAAACAATTTTTTTAGATTGAAAAAATGTTTATTTGACTTCTATTATATATATTTACTATATAAATGTACTTAGTACAGTTGAGATTCGAACCTTAAGATCTCTGGCTGTTGAATCGTTCACCTTACCTACTGCATCACTAACATTTTGATTGATAAACATTTCGTGTTGTTCACATATGACATATCCATGTACAAAAACAAATTTCTTTAGAAGAAAAGAATGGATCATTTTAAATGTAAAAATTTACATTTATGAGTATTTTTCTTAAATCTAACAAATATTTATCTAGATTAAACGAATATATTTAACAAAATATATTTCTTTTATTTTACAAATTATTTTTTTCAATGTAGATATTGCAAATCGATTAGGCCGCGTGAATTAAACTGTGCAAGACATTCACCGGATAATTAACCTCACAGATCCCCACGTAGATACTCAGGCTCTTTCTATTTTCAGAAACATAATTTATTAATTTTTTTCAAGCCACTGTCTATATATTTTGTGTTCGAATAATTCAGGAAATCGCCCGCCACCGCTACAAAGAGCGTTTCCATGTACTCCGAGCAGGTAGCAATTATAACGATAAAGCGGATTAGCTTTACGTTGCATTAATCCTTGTCCTTGTACGGAATTTCTGTATTAATATAACAAGGTGAAGCGTACTTCGTCGCGGAAACATTTGATTGATCGTACTAAAGCAACGCGGAGAAAGCACTCCGAAAGAGTATTGAGCAAGCTACGTATCAATGATGAGGAATCCTCGTCCTTGGCCTCGTGAGTACATAGTGGCTCGATAGAAAGCTGGCGATTTTCCTCGGAAGAAGCTGCTATCGTTTAATCGCGCGCTCCCACGGGCAAATGTAAGTAGAATTGATAGGATCGCGCGAACTCATAAACGGTGATGAATATTTCCATAAACAGTGGAAAATTCATCATCCCGTATATAGGGTGATTCATAAATGCACGCCAATATTTCAAGGGATAAATGTACACACTAAAATAAGTAAGAAACGTCATATGAATATATGTCCTACATAGTTTTCGAGTTATGGATGATTGAAGAAAATGTTCGAAAAGCCCACCTCGTGCGTCAACACGCGCTACTGCACACCTTAGCGTGTTGAGCACATTGAGTTACGCACTCGTTCGAAAATACCAGGTATTCTTCGAATAGTATCAAATCAATTTTGTATTCTCTCTTGCAGATCATACGACATTGTTCACTTGCGTTGAATACACAATACACAATAGATTTTAAATGGCCCCAAAAATAAAAATCTAGCGGATTGAAATGTCTGATTCATATCGATGGATTCATATCTGATATTTGCAAACATCAGATAAAGTTGAAACGTGCTAAGGCGTACAGTAATATGTATTGACGCACGAAGCGGGCATTTCGAACATTTTCTTTAATCATTCATAACATTCGAAAATGCAAGTATGTAGGACATATATATATTCATATGACGTTTCTTGCGTGCAATTCATTATGCAAAATAAAGTGAACCCGCTTAGTTGAGATGCCTGTGGCCTCTGAAAAGAAACACGATAAACATATGATTTTATAAAAAAGGTGGTAATCATTTCTTTTCCGCGTCAGAAGGTCTATCTTTAAAAAATTATCATTGAAACCTTACATATTTATGCTAATTTCTATAAAACGATCAAGTTAACGTCCTATATTACCTTTTTGATATTCGTAGCAACTTTCAAAATAATTTAAAATCGTGCAGTTTTTCGTAGTTACTGTCTATCCAGTCAAGGATTAGAACTTCTTCGAGAAATCGCATGTGTACGATATGTAAATGTTTGCCAGTGACGATTTCATCTTAATCAAAGATGATTATGATGATTATCGTCTAAATTAAATTAAAAAATTTAATTAAATACGTTTTCCTCTCGTATTTGTTTTGTAACAGAAATGATTTTACGGCAGTATATCGGGAATATATCGGAAAGGCAAGTTTATCAAGCTGTGCGTGTTTGGTAAACATATTTCTCAAAATATATAATTACAAATAGGGCGTATGTTTCATGTGACTATAAAAATCTTATTTTGTATCCAGGAGATACATCCATCCATCGTGGATACGTTGTTTCGAACGTTCAGCTTGAAACGCTTGTTGCACATTAGAATAAGCTGAACGCTCAAATCCAAAATATGACGTGAGATTGAAGATAGAATGAAACGATTTATCGCTTCAGTCGCGAGACCAACGAGAAATTGTGATGTTTATATTGTCTCTTGAACACCTGATTACGCGATTTATAATTAATAATAAAAATATACGTAGTGATACTTGATACATTTAAGTACGCCAACTTATATTTAGTCCGCATTACACGTGTCTAAAGACGATGTCACGTCCGGATGAACATCGGAATTATTGGGTTAAAAAATAGTGATCGCATAAAAAACGTCACTCCAGTTAAGTTAACAAAGCTATTGCGTATAAAGGTGATATCGAATATCAAAGAAGATTTATAACGAGTTTCTTCTTTATTTTAGAAATTACAGTCATGAAGAATACATGAAGATTAAACTCTAATTGAGATTTTATATATTCTATATAATTATATAATATTTTTCTATATTATTCTATATTATTATATAATTTAGTGAAATAAATAATAAAATAAATTTTTGGTGGATTGTTAATATTTAATTTGATGAGGCATTACAAGGTTGTTTGAAACATTTTTGTTTCTCTCTATCTCTCTCTCTCTCTCTGCTTGCGTTGTATCTGAGACACAACGATATTTAACAAAAAATTTGACGTACCTATAAGCTTTGTTCCTGAAGGTTTTGGTTATCCGATCGATGAAATGCAATTTCTCTTTCTCGAA